TACTTGAGAAAGCAAAAAAGCAAGTTAACAAAGCAAAACAGTATTTCGGTGATTCTCGAAGAAGATGAAAATGAAGACTATGAGTCATACGAACAAACTAGCAAAGAAATGTCTGCTATTGAGGTAAATATTTATTCAATTTAAACTCATTGTAACAAATCTTTTAAACTTAGAAAATCAATTTTGAAGAAATGCAGTTGGATAACATGGTTGACTTTACCAACTGTCCTATTGATCCAGCTCCATTTCAACTAATGGAAGGAAGTTCATTGCCAAAGGTGTTTTTATATTGGAGTTTTGCAAAAAAAACTCATTTTAAACTTATTTTAGGTACACAATTTATTTTCGTTACTTGGCTTGCAACAAGCTTATGTGACATCTCTTGGAACATTAGTCGGGGTGGTATCACTCAAAGAGGTAAATAAATTATTATTTTTATTTATTAACTAAAGTAAACAATAATTTTAAATATAGCTTAGAAAAGCCATTGAAGCCATGAACTCTGGAACACTGCCAAGAAAACGTAAAAAACTGCAATCCCAAAAAAATGGTGATACAGAAAACAACTAGTGCCAATAAACAATTTATTAAAGAAAACGTGTCAACATATTTTAGTCTATTTTTAATTAATTTATATGCGATCATTGTGACTTTTCAAGCATATCTTCTTGAAATCGTTTGATCCACATATATGAAAACATAAGCAATTCACCGTATAATAAAGTAAACTTAAAAAATGATGTAAAAGAAACCAAACCTTAAAAATCAATTTTGTTAACTGTTTAACTTTGTTTTTGTGCACAAACTCACCATAGGCAAGGTATGTCATTCCCATTTTCTTTTTTGTGTGAAACTTTTGAATGTACAAATCCAACATAAATCGGGACTTTAGTGATTGACCGTTGCGTTCACTTGCGCTTAGAATATTCAAACGTTTGCTGCACTTGTGAATTCTTTTACTATTGACATACAATGATTTAATGTTAAAAATTACATTGATACTTTTTAAACTTACCTGTACAGCGAAGCAGCAAAATGAAATCCAAAAACTACAACGATTTGGTAGAGGGAAAGATTAATAAAATTGATGGCTGTGATAACAGACATTTGCTTGGACGCCAAGAGAACAATTTGATAAGCACTGGTCGGCACTGCTCCAACAATAAAGCTAAGTAAAATTGGCCCAAACAATCGATTGGTTTCAAAAATGTCAAGCAAAACCAGTGTGTGATACTTGCAAAATAGATATAAGTTTGTCGATTTAAAGTTTCGTGACCTCATGTTTATATCATCTAACAACTTATCAATTTCGCGCATTCGATAAAAGGTAACTAGTGTCACAACTAGACCGACAATAAAGTTCTGTATGTACTCCATCAACAAAGTGTAAATGTACATAAAAGCTATCATTCCGTTGATTAAAATAGCCAATAAACTGAGGTATCCATTAAAGGTTGTAAAAAAGTAGTTTAAATGTTCATAAATGTAAACAAAAATTTGCCACAGATAGTAAACATAGGCAAGCTCTGAAAGAAAACAAAGTAAAAATGTCAACAAATGAGTTACAAACTGAGCTGTAAATTATGATCTGTTGTTTAATTATAATTTCATACCCATATATAGATTCCAATACTGCAAAACATACATGTTTGTTTTTGCCACTTTTTGAATTTTTTCGCAATCAATAAACATAATATCCCTTTTGTTTTGTGTGTACCTTGGATCACCTTTTCCTTTAAGAACCAAACCAGCCAACCTAATTGTTTCTATTTGTCCCATTTTTTCCCCTTTGTAAAAATACATTCTATGGTAGTAGTAAATGCAAAAGGGAGTTATAATGACGTAAATAAGATTTAGTTGTGGAATGGCATTTTGAAATAGCATCTGATCCCAATATAGAATTCGCCAGTGCGTGCTCATTTTTACAGTCATTGAAATAGCCATTTGAATCGTTCTAATTGTTGCTGCCAAACAGACGCCGTATATAGTGCCTGAAATCGTAAAAAACAAATATTTTAAATTAGTTGAAAATAATTCACAATCAGATAAGTTTACCTATTGTTATGGTTCTAAATCGCATAATATCTCGATTAGCTAATTCCCATTTTTCTGGAAAATGTAGCAGTCTCCAAGCCTCAAAATATTTGTCAACCAAAATTGGAATTTGATAAAGCCGTAAATAATGAACGTTCATTTCAAAAATAATTTGAAAAAATAGCCAAAAATGGCTGAATCCATAGTTTATCAAAAGTGAGAATTTACGAAACATGTTTATGCAACTCAAAATCAAAATAAATTAAAAATTTTAAAAATAAAAATTTGATTTAAATAAAAGAATAGTATTAACCAGTTTAGAAACAATTTTAATGAACAAAATTTACATTTATGTTTATAATGTTTATAATGTTTTTATTTTATCAATTTAAAACAGAAAAACTTTGAAAAAAATAAAAAATTGTTTTTAAAAGTAAAAAACATTTACCTCTACATAATCTTTGGTTTTTCACAGTTTAAACTTTTTTGCATTCTGAGAACAAAAAAATATTAAAAGTTAGATATTTGTACAAAAACAATAACTTTTCAAGTGCAAAAAAATTAAATTTAAAAAAACAAAAATTACTTTTAGTAATTTTTTAATACTAAAAAACAAATTTAAAATTGAAACTTTATATAGTTTTAATTTTGACATTTTTAGTTTTGAAAGTTTGATGAGTAATGATTAATGATACGAAACATTGGAACATGTTTTTTGTTAATAAAGTTATTTAATTGTTTTTTATTAACAACTTTGTGTTGGACATTTTCATTAAATGTCTAAATGAGCATTGTAAATTATTCATTCACAGAATTCATTCATTGACAAATTAGTTTTAAATTATTATTGTTTTAATTGTTTAAAAACTTTTTATTTGAAGTTTGAACAATAATTAATGACATTAACCATAGCTACATTTTTAAAAATTAAAAAACTGCAAAAACTGAAAAAACATGTCTCTACCAAGTTTAAAATTTTTTTTCAAATGCTTAAATGCTTTCTCTTGCAAGTCAATTTAATGCAGGTCAAGTGAACAGTTCTTGCATGTCAAAATGAAAGCAAAAGAACGATTTTGTAGAGAATTGAAAATATTTTAATTATAACTTTAATTTAATAATAATAAATCCATAATAATGATAACAATTTAAAATAGAAAGAAATTAAGAATGACGAGAAACGGATGTGTGTGGCTGGTGAAATGTGTGGAAAAGGAGGAGGGAGAAGGGGCAAGATAGGCGAAAGAGTGTGCTGAGACCAAGTGGCGCTTCGGCAGAGCAAACCTAAACATGGAAGACCGCACGATGACGCACATCACTGATCCACAGGCGGTGTGTAGAAAGAGGTGTAAAAAGTGGTGACAAAAGATGGTGCTTAGAAAGATAGTGGGCAGAGCGAAAGGCACGACGACCGGTAGAAAAGATATTCAGTTTGAAGTGTGTGTAGTCGTCGAAGAGGAAGAGATGGGGATGGAGCAGGGAAGGGGCAGGGGGGCGTTAAAGAGGTCAGAGGGCTACAGCTGCTGTCACAGGGAGAAAGGAGCGGCCAGAAGGACATGAGTGGGGTACAGAACAAAATGCATCTTTTGTGAAAAGTTGGGTAGAGGAAGATCAACAAGAAAGAAGAATGGGGAATAGCCATTTGTGAGCCCTCTTAAGTGGACTCATCCGCTCTTATGGAGTGCGTGTACAGTGAATCAGTATTATTTATTAAATTAAAAAGTAAGAATTGTCTATATATCATGCAAAAGTGTGTGAGTGAAAATGGGGTGTGGTAATAGGTGGTCAAATTGGGTATGCACAGAAAAATAGGCATATATAAAGAATATATTCTTTTTAATAAGTCTATACAGAAAGGAAGGAAAGAGAAAGAGGGAGGGAGGGAGTCGCACTCGTCTTGGGACGGTGCCGCTCAGCAGAAAGAACGAGAGAGGGAAAGTTACACGAGATAGAGTCGAGTAGATGGGGCCAGGTATTGTTTATATATATATTTATAGAAATTAAAAACTAAATGTTGGGTGGGGGAAGATGAACTCGGAGAATGGGTGTTGCGTCGAGGGAGAGAGAGAGAGAGAGGGATGCGATCAAAGTCGCCGAAACATTTGATATAGCTATGTATCACCTTTCATTTTGGGTTTCATATTTCGATGTGCAGTGGTTGACGAGGGCGAAAATGGAGTCATTTTGCGGTCAAAACTGCTAACGCCATAGGCACGATTCGGTGGCACAGCGACGCGACTGCTCGTGTTCAGTAGGGAAATGGTAGGACCATTTCGGCGGCTTGGAGGCACTTCCGTGGAACTGGAAGGAGGGGCAGGGTGTGCTGCTGCAGTCCCCTGCGGGTTCACACCGGAACCCGTCGACGGCTGACTGTTTGCAATGATTGACAGGCGCTTAGTAGCGGCAGGTTTGGAGTTGGCGACGCCAGTGGAGAAGGAAGAGGTCGATGAGGAAATGGAAGAGGCAAGCGAATTGGACGAGGATAACCGAGAGCTAGTGGAGCCCATTGAGGACTTCTGACTTTGTGACTTCAACAGGTGCGACTGCTGACGGTTATAAACACGAGGTGACTGATTGCGAAGTTGAGAGCTGGCAAGGCCACTGATGGCTGGGGAAACCCCGGACCCAGAAGCAGCAGCTGCAGCAGCGGTAGAGGCTTTGCTACTGCTGCTGATGGTCGACAGGTTGCGGGACGGAGAGGACAGCTGTCGCAGAGGAGGGGGCTCATCTGCGGAGGTGGACGCAGCCGAGGACTTTCGACTGGTACCACTGACGCTGGCGTAAAACCTGGACCGATTGATGATGCTGCTATTCACCGGACTGTTGGTGGTGGTGAATGCAGCCGTTGCCGCTTCGTTAAAAGTCGTACTCGTGCTGGGAGAAGTGTAGGTTAGTTTTGAATCGGCAATGCTGGAAGTGCCACTGTTCTCGTCGTCGCCTACCGATACCAATTCCACATCGGCGCCGAGTCATAATTTCAGTTCACTCGTTATCTTGGAGGCGATATTCTTAAAACCAATCGACGTGCCTGAAATGCGCTTGAAGCGAATGCCGTTTAGTGACAGGCGCGGCAACTTGCAAACTTCAATTTCCCATTGAACCAGTGAGTCAGTGTACGGGTCTCCATGAATGCAAAGAAGTAAAAACTTTTCTCTTTGCTCATAGTCACAGTTGTTCTTGTCAAGAACTTTGCGAATTTCTGACATGATCTCATTAGGGTCCCGTGAAGAGGTGGTTTTCATGCTCCAGGTAAACCTCAGCGACCGAGGCTTTGTTTGGTCATCGTTCATTGTTCTGAAATAAAGTAACCAAGTTAGTCGTAGTTTTCTTTAGAACGGCAGATGCCCCTACCTTTTACTGAATTTTGAAGACAATTTACTAAAGAAAGACTGTCGGTTCATGTTTGAAGTGTCTTGCGATTGCAGAGGGGCCACAAAGGAGTTTGGCCAGCGTTCACGCGTCTGACCGCTGTGAAAAGTGCTTCGATTCGCACTGCCACGAGGAAAGGCTCGATTGATGTTTTGAATGGGCGAGATGGCAGCATTCTTTGAGGAGCTGTACAAATACAAAAACAACATTTGGTTAGGTCACCGCATCAACAATATTTACACTGAAGGCTTTTTAAAAGAAAGAGGGGAAACGTAAAAAGAAAGCAACAGATGACAGTGTCATAAAGCAACTGTCAAGCTGGAGTTATCATTTGGGCGGTTAAAAACAGGTTCAGACATGCATTGCTCAAACCTTGGGCGAATGGTTTCATTGATTGAGTTCAGCGTCGAATTGCTGTCGATGGGACGCAATTCAGATGCATAAGCACTGGAACAGGACCGCCCCGAGACAGACGCCGACTTGGTGTGCCCCTTCGGGCGAAGACTGTTTGTGTTGAGGGACGAGTCACTAGACTCCTCTTCGACAACAGTGATGCTCGCCACGTTAGTAGTAGCAGAAGTGTTAGCAGAAGTGGAGGTACTGTTTTTTTGGTAGTTGCAAGTTAGCAGAAAAGTTAAAGAGTACAGAGTAGAGCAGAAAAGGGAAAGAATAAAGGCACAGTTATTAGTATTCGAAGAATGGTTCCATTAGACGGGTGCAGGAGCCATGCAGACGGAAGGTCAAGACACAAGGCACAGGAAAGGGGAAGAGTAGAACAAGAAAAAGGCAGGAGGAAACAGTGGAGGAATGCACAAAGTGGCAGTTGGGACCAAGCAACAAACCGAAACAAAACATGCAAATTAAAAGCAAAACAATGATCGATTAATGATGTGTTTCATGCAATAAGTGGATAGGAGGAAGCTATCGTAAGCTAGCACCCGAAGAAAACGCTAGCCGGGATTTGAGCAGTAATACGTACTTGGAGCTTTCATTAGTCTTCTCTGTGGAGGCATTTTTCGAGTCGGCCGAGTTGTTGTAAATGTGAGTGTTGCGTCGAGGAATGCCACTGAGTGTGTTTTTAAGTAGTGCCGTCGGAAGTGCAGAGGGCTTCTGCCTGAGCGAGCCAGTGCCCAGGTTGCTCAGTTTGGACGGGCTGATCACCGAGGCGGCAGAAGGCGTCGAGGCGAGGGGAGTCTCGCTCGAGGCGCTGCCCCCGCCAACGGTACTAGAAGTGGACGAAGTGGTAGACGTGGAGGTTGCCGCCGCATTCGAAGAGGTCGGCGAGGAGGATGAGCCAGGTACTAAGACGGAAGGTGATTTGATCGATGAGGAACGACCACCACCACCACCACCAGAGCCACTCGGTGGGAAGCTGTTTGCGTTGTTTGCTGAGTTGGTCGAGGAAGAGCTCGTGGGCGATTTGACGCCTGAAGGAGATGACGGATCAGCAGTAGCGGCCTGAGCGGTGCCGGTTCCATTGGTGATGGTGGCGTTCGTCTCCGAGGAGCTGGAGGATGCCGCCGTACTGGCAGTTCCATTGGCGCTGCCCGCCGAAGGGCCACTGTTATTGCCGTTGGCGGCAGCTGCAGTGGAGGCTGCGGCCGCCGCTTCGCCATTGTTATTCTTGAACGGATGAATCACAGTCGTGTCTTTTGAGATAACATGATCGAATGCACTTGGACGCTGCTTGTAGGAAGTGCCTCCTGCGTTGCCGCCGCTGCTGGTGCTCGCCGAGCTAGAATTGGGAATGGCAGGCACTGCTGGCGTCGCAAACGATTGACCAGCGTTGGAGGTGGTGCCCGTCGCCGTCGCACCTGTTGCTGCAGTGGTCGCCGTGGTGGCCGGCGTCGCTGGATGGTTTGGATCGCCGCCGTGGCTGAAGCGCCTTGGCTTGGTGGTCGCGGACACACTTCGCTGTACCTTCACATGAGAAGGAGACTGATGATGGTGGTGATGATGGTGTGAGTGGTGACTATTCGTGATCATACTGAAATCGCCGCGCTGCCGAAGCGATAAACTTGAGCTCGATCGAGAGTCGCATGCCTCATTCTGTAAAACGGTTAAAAGTTGTTTTTATTAATAAACACGTCAATGGTAGAGTCGTTAATGTTAGACAGTCACCTCAGTTGTGCGCTTGCCCAGCAGAAGATAGATGGCCATGACGTCGTCATACTTGCGACAGCGTAATGATTCTTCAATCTCCTCTCGCGAGTAGCCGTTTCCTATTAGTATCTCCACTCGACGCTGGTCACTGAAATCGGGTTTCGGCTCAACAAATGGCTTTAGTTCGTCATTTTCGTAGTTATTATTCATCCACTTGTCCTTCATAATTGTCTACATGATATTGTGAGAGAAATTAAACAAACAGCGACATAGGATATATGACAAGATCTTACCTCAAGAGAAGCCCGTTTTGCTGGATTAAGTACAAGAAACTTCTTCAACAGATTCTCACACTCAGTGGTCATGTAGAAAGGGATCCGATATTTGCCGCGTAACACCCGATCACGCAGTTCTTTGAGATTGGCGCCATCAAAAGGAAGCGAGCCACTGACTAGAGTGTAGAGAATTACGCCCAGACTCCAAACTACAGCAAAGAAACGGAAAAAGGTTAGTGAGCTCTGTGGTAAGCGGTTAAAAGAAATGGCTAACCGTCAACTTCTGGTCCATCATACTTTTTGCCCTGAAAAAGTTCAGGGGCAGCATATGGCGGACTTCCGCAGAAAGTGTCCAGTTTTTCGCCGGGCACAAACTCATTACTGAAGCCAAAGTCGGCAATTTTGATGTTCATTTCACTATCTAACAGTAAATTTTCCGCCTTTAAATCACGATGAATTATTCTCTTCTGATGACAGTACTGCACAGCTGAAACAATTTGCCGAAACTTGGCTCTAGCTTCCTTCTCTTTCATACGACCATGCGAAACAAGATAGTCGAACACTTCACCACCACTGGCATACTCCATCACCAGGTAGAGCGTCTTCTCTGTCTCAATTACTTGATACAGTTTCACTATGTTTGGATGATCGAGCATTTTCATGATGCGGACTTCGCGAAAGAGCTGAATAAAATTAAAAAGATTCAATTAGATACAGTACACAGATTCAACTTTCAATAACAACCCAACTAACCTTTTGAAGACTGGATTGATTGAGCTGCGTCTTATCAATTATTTTGATGGCTACCTCCTTCCCAGTGGGCAAGTGCTTTGCCAGTTTCACCTTGGCAAAGTTGCCCTTGCCAATAGTTTTCAGTAACCGGTACCGGCCAATTTGCGGTTCTTCGCTCCTCGTTATCCGGGCATTGCTGCGAAGATTGTTTGAAATTGACACCGGCTGATAGTCATCGTTCTAATAAAAACAAAGTAATAAAAAGGTTAATGTTTTAGTGAAAGAATGGAAATAAGTATAGAAAGCTATGCCAAGCTCATGTTTTTGTTCAGCAAGGTTTGTTTTTAAAAAGGATCCAAAGCAATAAAAACATACACGTTTTCGAATCATCTTTCGACAAATGAAAAAACGACAATGGTTTAAAATAGATGAAGTATTGTTGTGTAGGTGGATAAACTCGATTGGCAATGAGTGTCAGATCATTCAGAGAAACTGCACTGTTTTAGATTGAGAGCGAATCCAGTGCCGCAAAATGTTTCAGAGCGCAGAAAACTGATAAAGGGCAGTGATGTAAACAGTGCGCAAGTTCAAGTGCTCGCAGAAAAAAACATTCTCTCTCTACAGCGGCGGCGCCACTGACGTCAAAATACCACATGAAAGCCATTTAAAATGACATCCTAACTGTATCTTGATATTGCTCTAAAAGATGTGAATAAACAGAACTAAATAGGAACATTTTTGTACCCTATACTCTATGAAAAATTGTGTAAAATAAGTAACAATTAAAGGGCAGTGACAGTTGGCTGATTTCCAGACAGGAAGCCATGCGTATCAACAGGTAAGACGACATAAGAGTACCGTAGTGACGGCTATAGTAAGGAGAGAACAAAAGGTGTTCAGTTTTCGAGACTGTCATTTAGAATTAGCATTGATTCTGTGGAGCCGAACACACATCATGGCGCCTACAATTGGCTCGAGTCAAGTGTCAATCCTTCAGTAGATAGCCACATTTGAGCGAGGAAACCGAGAAACAGACAGACAGAGACACTCCTCTGCACGCGTATTTGGCGTTGCTCGACACTGCGTCAGATACTGGCATGCATTTGTAATCAACTGTACGTTCACTCCGTTCAGTGTTAGCTGTGCTTTCCAACTGGTCGCCATATGAACGTGTGGCACCGTATCAAGTGGCAGTCAGCTGTGGACAGCTTGCGCAGCCTCCATGTGGGCGTCTCAGTGGAGATGACCTCTGTTGGGCAAACAGAATCAATTTAGTTCAAGTGGCTCTCAAGTCAGATGCGCTGATGTCTAAACAACCTGACAGGCAACTGAAGAGACCATTGCACTGCGCTAATTAGCATAAATAAACTTGAGGTCATTCTGTGGAATTACTTCGAATGAGTTGAAGCTCATTTGAGCAGATTTTTTTTACAAAAAAACATTTTAACAATAATGGTATACAGAGACTGCGTGCCAAAAGTACGCCAAAAATTGCGCCCGGAAAAAGGCTCACTTTCAAAAATAAATCTGCCAAGTCTGCAGTGTTTTTCTCAATGCTTTTATAGCAAACAAACTTTTTATCTGTATCTGTTACTGTGTCTTTAAATTTTTTACTATAAAAAGAAAAAATCCACAAAAATAACACTCCGAGAAGTGAGTAAACATAAACTACAGAACAAAAGCTTAGAAACATAAAAAATTATTTAAAAGAATAATATTCCATCAAAACATATTATAATACAGAAAAAAAGGCCCTAACATTCCAGCCGTGTGAAATCATCGATTAATGATCAATGAAATCTTCTATAATTCTGCAGCAAATGACTGTCTCTTGTGCAACTGTGATACCACTAGGTAAAGTGCCCGAACATATAGCTGTTCGATAATCAAAACTGAGTTTTGTAAGCAAACTGTTGTCAATGGCATTAAAAAAGAGTAAACTTCTTTATACGTATTGATCATAAGCTTGATTTGAGCTGCACTTCTCACTTGAACTCATTTTCCATTACTTTAAAGCCTTCTTCGATTAAACAGCGGCACTAGTGCTACCTAGAGTGCACGCACCGAGTGCGAGCATCATAGAGAGAGAGAGAGAGAGAGAGAGAGAGAGAGAGAGAGAGACGCATCAGCACTTATCAACGCCGCTGTCAAGCCCGGCACCGCACAGACCGACACTGACACAGACACACAGTCCTCCTCCTCTTCCTCTCCTCCGTGACATTTGTGCCGGACCGAGTAACGTTGCAGGCGACAGTCGACAGAGTAACACAGTGTACCAGGGGCGAACATGCTCGTGAATGAAGGAAAGCGCACATACTGCTCCATTCCCGAGTTGGGTTGCCACGATGACGTCAACGGCGCAGGCGATTCAATCAGCGAATGCTAATATTGTTTGTAGCTAGGCTAGACAAGAGAAGGCAGCCCACCGTCAAGAACTGTTTCCCTCTCCTCTCCTCTCTCTCGCCGAATGATATACCGCGCCAATTCTGCCCCCTTCTCCCCTCACACACGTACAGAGATAGAAGAAGCATTCTGCCGGGATCGGGTGCTGCTACTTCATATATCGCTAGCAGGCGAGAGAGTGCCAGAAAACAACAATGAGCCACATCTGAAACTGCCACAATTTTCAGGCACAATCAGAGGAATTGACGCCTTACCCGTTGCTCCCCTGACCGCCACACTTCGAAGGCCGGTAAAGGGGCCAAGAGAAATGCAAAAGGAGAAAAAAAGACCATGGCCACCATGTACTGCATAGAACAATTCACAAGCAATCAGTGAAGTGCTGCTACTGATGCAGCTACTGCTACTGCTAATTGCCTGACACAGTCCCGCTAAAACATGGCGCATGTCTTCATGTACAAAAATACTTTTTTCCTATGGCTTGTGTCTTGTAGACGGAGGAACAAAACAAGAGTTCTTCTGGTCTGAGTAATGCCGTTTGTATGTCGCCTTTCGAGAAAAAACAAAAAACGATTCTTTTTGCTAAGGTGAGCAGTGCAAATGTCGATAGGCATTCACTCTACGGTGCATTTCCTCCGGTACATACACACAGAGCAGTAAAGACAGTACAGCAAAATCGTCTTTGTCACTGCAAACGTGCCGATCAAGGGAGTACTGACCGTGCACTAATAGTATTATTAATAAAACTCAATAACAATAACAACTGAAATGGCCCAAAACGATAAAACAAACAAGAAGTTTGGTGCTGTACAGAAGTAAAAAACCAACATACGTCAACGGAAAAGAACAATTTGGCTGCTCAAGAAAGCAGAGACATAAATTTTATGTGAAACATTTAATGATCCAAAATAGTATTCCGATGCAGTACTTTAATGTGTGTGTGTCAAAGTACAAACACAAAATTGTAATTAAAGAGTTGAGATGTTCCCTATAGTTCTAGTGTTTGCAAAAAAAATATTAATAAAAACTTCTTATAAAAACACTTAAAACTAAAATTTTAAATCTTGGCAACACTTGAATGTCTACAGTTGTTTTTAAAAAGATCAAAATACTCTTCCCAAAGGGTGATACGACAACTTATCATAAGAATAGATATTATCGTCTTGACAAATAGTTTAAGTGCATTTTCTGCTTCATGCAATTTTAGATTAGACTGTTTTGCTGAACGCATCATCCCAGCAAATACTATTTTTACGTAATTTGAATGGTCAGAAGTTTTGATTTTCACTAGATTTAGTGCAATAGAACTTGACAAAAAAATACTCTTTTCTCTTGACCAAGTATTGTCTAATTTAGAAAATCAGAAAACAAAATTACCCAAATGCTGCATCAGTTCAATTGACAATGTTTAATACTTTTTTTAAATAATCACTGGCTTATTTAAAAGTTGAGTCTGCATCACAACAAATCAACAACATAGCTTGACGTAAATGCAGATGTGCAGACATAATAAAATGCACTCACTGAAAAGGCCATGATCTCCGTCCATAAATGGCAAAAGCAAGTTCACTAGGCAAATGAGAGGACACATGGGTGCCGTACAAAGGACATGCTCACACTGCCGTGTTTCAAACTGCTTCATCTCCACGGACGGCAGTGGGCTGAAAATAGCGCAATAGGTCCAATTATTCAGGTGTAATTAGGAAAGCACAAAAAGAAAGGCCATTACAAGAAAGCGACGTTGTGTCTGCGACAAAAGCGTCCATTCAGAGTACAGTGCGAATGCCCAAGTAGAAGCCACCTAGTGCTACCACCTAAACAGCGAGACAAGCTTGTCGCATGCAACAATTGATCTGAACGAGCCGGAGCACTCTTTTTTTGAAGTCGTCTGGACGGTAGTGAACTGCTCTATTTGCATGCAAACGGCGATAGACCACAGTGAGTGTGTTGCTTAGTTCAGTTCATCTGTCGATAGACACACTTTGAAGAGTGCACACACACACACACATTCGACCACAAATAGAGTTATATTTAGCTTGCCTAATGAGAATAAGACAGGTTCCAAGCGACCGCTAACGAGATTAGTGGCTATTGAGCGCCCCTGATCGATGATGGTCGACGATCGATTCAAAACACACACACACACAACTGAGAAAAATGGTGGTGGATAGGAGGAAAGAGGGAGACAGACAGAGAGTGGCACTGGCATCGGCGGCGACGGCAGATGTTCGCCGACACCGACGGGTCTCAGCGTACAGCACAGAAAGTGCCAAAAGACAATGAAGACCATAGATGTGCTTCGGAGAGGAAGGGCAGCACCGGCGGCAGAGCAGTTCAGAAGCACTTGCATAACATGTGGCACTAGAGGAACATCACTCAGTAGGACTGCTTACAGCAAGTGCCTACACACAGGCGCCACCAAGACAGACAACCAAGACTGTTTGGCAATGTAAATATTTGACAAAAAGGGCAATTATGTGATTAGAGAGTGATTCGGGGACACAGACAAGTGGACCACTTGCTCGCCTGCTCCAAAGCATGTCTATCGACTGCGGTCTGATGTGCTCTCCATGCAACCGCTGAAACGTACAGTGAGTCACATTTGGAAGTTAAAGTGCAAGTTAGGGAAAATAAATCGCATCGTCGAATACACTTCTTGTGCTGAGTAATCCGCCAATTCAGAGGCGCCATTTCAGCAGCTGAAAAAACATCAATCGCGACATGACAGTCAAGATAAATTGCCACGGGAAGAGAATGAAGCTAGTAAAAGGCGCAAAGTGAGCATTACCCGAACGAGAGAACACGTGCATTAGTAGTGCACAACAAAGTTAGACAGAACA